ATTCTCAGCTCTGAGGCTATCGCTAGCACAGGCTTCCAGCATCAGCCCTTCACATGACCACTTGTAACAAAGCGGGCTTTCGGATTTGACGCTGCTACCTACTTCAAGTCCCTTACAGACCGTTTGCCAGCCTGCACTGGTGTTTTGGCTCTTTAACCCTATGCACAATGCTTGCCAAATATATCTAAGTTTGTATGATGTAGTACATATTACTTTTATTTATTTATGTATTTAATTTTTTAATTTTATTTTAATTTTTTGAGTTGGAGTCTCACTCTGTCACCCAGACTGGAGGGCAGTGGCCGCTCCCGGCCACCGCAGCCTGGACCTGCTGGGCTCCGGCGATCCTTCCGCCTCAGCCTTCCAAGTAGCTGGAACTACAGGCGTGCGCTACCACGCCTGGCAATTTTTTTTTTAAATTGCAGAGATGCGGTCTCGCCAGGTTGCCCGGGCTGGTGTCAAACCTGCGGGCTCAGGCAATCCACTCGCCTTGGCTTCGCATATTGCTGGGATTACAGGCTGAGCAACCGAGCCCGGCACTTTTAAATTTTTATTTATTTATTTTTGAGTCGGGTTCTCACTCTAGCCCAGGTTGGAGTGCAATGGCATGATCACGATGATCACAGCTCACTGCAGCCTCTACCTCCTGGGCTCAGGTGATCCTTCCAGTTCAGCATCCTAAGTAGAGGTGTTCACCACCATGCCCGGCTTTTTTTTTTTTTTTTGAGTTGGAGTCTTACTCTGTCACCCAGGCTGGAGTGCAGTGGCACGCTCACAGTCACCGCCCCCCCCCCGCTGTTGACCTGCTGGGCTCTGCTGAGCCTTCCGCCTCAGCCTTCCAAGTAGCCAGAATTACGGGTGCACACTACCACGCCCAGCTAATTTTTGATTTATTGTAGAGACGAGGTCTCACCAGGTTGCCCGGGCTGGTCTCGAACCCACAGGCTCATGCAATCCACTCGCCTCGGCCTCCCAAAGTGCTGGGTTGACGGGCTGAGCCACCGAGCCTGACCATGCCCGACTTTTTAAATTGTAATTTTTTTTTTTTATTTTTATTTTTTGCAGAGACGAGGTTTCGCTGTGTGGCCCAGGCTGGTCTTGGACTCCTGGGCTCAAGCAATCCGCCCACCTCAGCCTCTCAAAGTGCTGTAGTGCATATTAAGGAGTAATAATAACTTCCAACATTTTGGGTGTTTTGGTTTAGTTTTACTCCCCATGAAAATCACATGCTCTAGCGTAGCGCCTTTCCGAAGAGGGGGTCCGGGTGGTGCTTCGCAGGGTCTCCATTGAGCTCCGTTGTCGGCCACCTTCTGGACCATCTGGAGCAGCCTGGTTCTGAGAGTGCCTCCCCAGGTGACCTAGGCAAAGTGTTTTACTTTGTTACGCCTCTTCCCCCACGTGTCACATTATATACGCCATTTCTGCCAGATTTGGGAAAACAAACATTCTGAGGCAGAGAAGCTGAACACTGTATGATGACTACATTCTTCCGGCAAATCATTTGCATTCCTAGCATTGCCTCACCTGGGTTTCTGGTTGCTGCTACTGCTGCAGACTCCTTTCCACTATGCATGAATACAGGTCTCCTTGTATGTTTTTAATAAGGCTATGTGGCATCTGTCCCTTAAACAATGAAAAGTAATGAGATAATAAAAACTTAAGTCTTCTTTTTAAAGAAAATACGTACACTTTTAGGAGTTAGCAAACAGCAGGCAGAGAAACTTCTATTGTTTTATTGGGGTGGGGGTGGGGTTTAACACACCCCCACGGTAGTGCGCACAAGTTAAGATCTCAAGCTTTCTCTTGCACCTCAACTGTAAGACTTGGCTTTACATCGTACCAAATGTTCTGGGTTGGTAGAGGCAACTTTCAATAGGCAAAATCAGAGCAATCCTGGAAAAGAGGAAAAGACTGAAACTGATCATTTTTGGACACTGACATTTTCCAGTCATCTAGAAATCCCCATATCCATCTACACACTTACCTTTGACGAGTTATTAACAGCTGACACTGATCTAAATGTCTCATCTGTCTTACATCACTCTATTTAAAACAAAAATTAACTTGGTGCCTTATATATGAAAAAGCACATTGACAAAAATGAGGTAAATATGTGGCCTGAGCCTAAGCTTAGGTTTGAATACCGCTTTCTAATTTCTCATCCTGTGCTTTACTCGTGGTCCACATTATTTCATCAGAAAGCCTCACCCCTTGACTCCTCAGGGGTTCATAATGGCACAAAATTTAGGTCTTGCCCTCTACTAAAGGGATAGAATTAACTTTTAAAAGGGGTGATGATTGGTACAAGGAAGAGAAAGAGAACAGAGAGAAGGGACCACTCGGTGACTTACCATAGTCCCTCCCTTTCTGCAGCAGAACAGAGCAAAGATCAGAGGCCAGGAGCTTTCTCTTTCATAGGGCTGGGAAGAGACAGTTGTCAGAAGCTGCATGAGGTCTCGGTTTTGTTTTACAAATCTGATCTTTTAATCAAGAGGTTCTTATTCTTTGGAAACACAGTGGTCCCTGGGGGCCACCACCCTTTCCCCTTTGAGAACGTAAGTTCAAATTCTCTAAGTCAAAAGGGAAAGGCTTTACTTATATTCCAAAACCAGCAGCTAGCTGGTAACCCAATTCACACATCATATGTCCTTTCATAAGAGAAAGCTCTTACCTTTAAGGAGAAAGAGGAACGCTTGCTTTTTCAGATCTTTGTTGTTCATTTGAATCATGAAAAACTATGATCAGTTTAAGTTTTCTTAATTATTGAAGGATGTACTGGCACTGGGTTTTAGTTTTAGTAAATGTATGTGAGCAAGCTAGAGGCCCACCATGGCCCTTGTGGGCTGCAGATGTTGTCTGAACCCCACAGCTGCATTTGTAGATCACTGTTTGTGGTATGATGTGACCAATGAGATTTAGAAAAAGAAGGTACATGGAGCCATTTTTTGACTATTGCCCGAACAGTTTCTATTAAGGTTTATTGCCTCTGGAGATAAGGTTTACACTAAGTTTACATCTTGCTTTTTCCATTTAAGTTTCAAGAAACACTCCAACCAGGTTTTGTTTTTCTCAAAATTGTCCTAAAGTGCCTTTTAACTTTTGTACCACCCACAAACGATGCCAACTCATTTTTCTTAGTGCTTCCGTTCTGTAAACGTATTTCTTCCACTCCCGTAGGTGTGGTGGGGAGACCGACTCTTCAAACCACCAAGAAACACCCTTATTTCCTTTGATGTCATGCCCTATGGCATGCCATTATTTAAGGGGCCATCATACAGCCACCACTTACTTCTGAGGTTTACCTTACTGGAAACGAAGGTATGTTCAGTAACTAAACCTTCTCATCGAGCAATAGGGAGCTGGACTTTATAAGGTTTGAGAAGTCCAGGTTTGAATTCTGGCTCCCTCACTTACTGGTTGGGTAACTGCAGGCAGGAATTATGACTTATCTGGAAAACAGAGACACCCATCTCAGCAGGTTGCTTTGAGGATTAAAATGTACAAGTACCATGCAAAGCATGCACATATTCTCAACACATAGCAATTTCTTTCCATCCAAAAAGGATTGAAAGATTAGCAATTGACCTTCGCTGACCATAGTGAGTGGTGTGTTCATCTTTTCCAGAGAAGCTCCAGATATATTCAGTATGTCTCCTTCAGGATAAGGACACCAGACCCATGATCTTAGCTTTCAAACATTAATTTACCAACCACTAGTCAAGCTTATATTTAACCTTTAATGTTAAAAAAAAACAAAACAGAAAAGGAGAAAAATGCTTCAGGTTACGGATGGTAGGATTATTTTGTGTATTAAAATGAAAACTGTGGGCCGGGCTTGGTGGCTCAGTCTGTCATTCCAGCACTTTGGGAGGCCGAGGCGAGTGAATTGCCTGAACCCGTGGGTTCGAGACCCACCTGGGCAATTTGGCAAGACCTCGTCTCTACAATAAATAAAAAATTAGCCAGGTGTGGTAGTGCGCACCTGTAGTTCCAGCTACTTGGAAGTCTGAGGAGGAAGGATCACCAGAGCCCAGTAGGTCGAGGCTGCGGTGGCCGGGAACATGCCACTGCACTCCAGCCTGGGTGACAGAGTGAGACTCCGACTCAAAAAAAAAAAAAAAAAAGACTGTGAGCAAGACTTAGGAGGTGCCCCAGTTTTTTATCGACTGAATTTGAATAACTAGGCAATCTCTTGGAAGAAAAACAGACTAAGAACCCACAGCTTATGTGACCTTCAGGAGTTGTGTCAAATGCTGAATTAGAAAGCTGGCCCAAACTCAAAAAGTCCCTATTTCTTATTAAGCTTCACACATTTTTTTCTTGCAGGCAATAAGCACTGTAACCCAAGTGGGCAGAAAGAGACCCACACCTTCCCCAAAGAAGCGGAAGATGGATCTAGTGACAGGCTCAGTTAGACCCGATTGTGGTGGCTCTCCGAAAAGGAACAATGCAGCTTTTGTGATATGCTCAGGCAGAAAGCTTGGAAATTTTACAAAATCTTACCCCAAGAGAAACCTGGGTTCTAGCCTTCTTCCTGGAAAGAGGGTTTGATCCAGGAAAGCTTTACACTACTCTCTTATCAGCTCTCGCTGGGATCAGTTTTTGGTGTATGTTTTTTTGAGCAAGCTCAGGAGCAACCAAGGCAGACCTGTGTGAAACCAGGAATGTGAATGACTCCACTATTGGAGCACTCCTACTTACAGGTTTCCACAGCCCAACCACAGGGTGTCAGATTATTTCGTTGTTGTCTACAAAGGGAACTCTTTGCTGGAATTGTTGGTATTCATTAATCTGCCCGAACTCCGTCTGAGAACCCTTCACAGGGTGGATCGAACGGCCAGTCTCGCGCTGGAAGCGCTAACATGCAAATGGGCAAGAGCCCCAGCCAACCTCCCCATCCCCCAGGAAAGTGCTCACACACAGCCAGGCCTGGAGGGGAATGCTAAAAGAGGGGTTGAGCTGCCCTCCTTCCACTGGGACCCTCGCTCACACTGTGAGATTCAGTATGCATGACTGAGCCAGCGAGCACGCAGGGACAGCGCTCTTTCAACTTTTCGGAACAATGGCTTCAGTCGCTCCACCTTCACGTCCTCCCCGCAGCCGCTCTGAGGGTCAGGAAATCCATCTTTCTCGCCCCGTCCACGTCTCATGACCCACTCTTTCAACAGCAGCCCTAGCTCTTGTTTCCACCCAAAGGAACACTGGCCACTCGGGGAAACTGTGGCTTTCAGGGCTGGTTTTTTAAACAGTTTCATTTTGTTCGATTTCTTAAATTTCCACGTTGGTGACAGCTGAAAGCCAAAAATCATATGAATCTCCAGTCTAGTCACACTTCTAGAAACAAAACATTGGGATGTTAGTCGTGAACCTTGCACAGAATGAAAGGATAACCACGAGCTGGCTCACACCACAGAGGCTGCACCACTCAGACCTCGTTCCTTCCACTTCAGGGCACACAAGTAGCACCTCCACTTGGGCGCGGACCCAACCACACAATGCCTTCAAAATAATTCACAGATACAAGGTTTTTTTGTGCTTTTTTTTCAAAAACATACTTCATATTTCCTCTTTTATTATATAAATATCAGTTTAACCTTTTACTGTAAGAATATAAACGTCTTAAGAGGATCTTTGTTATTATTTATACAAATTCACAAACAGTACAATTAATCGATAAAGGTCTCTGGGTTGCTTTAACTCCATGGTCTCGCATGTTGCTGTGGAAGAGTCTAAAAAAATAAACAAAACAAAACAAAAAATCCAACAAAAATATACATCCTACTCAAAAGCGGTTTTTTTTAAAGCCACAAGTCCCAACCCCCACCAAAATAAAGAAGGTCGTCTGTTCCTCCATCTAGAGACAGAATTTTTCAAACCCCACCAATCCCGTTTTATTAATAGAACAGAGAGAAGACCCGAGTGTCAGTCTCTTCCCCTTCATATTGCAGCCCCAGGGTCTGCGCAGGCCAACTCGGCTCCTCCGTTTCCCACAGGAGGCCTCACTGTGTGACCTTTTTGTGGGGAACGGGAAGAGGGTGAGGGTGGGGCAGAATTTGCATATATGGTCATCATTTTCAAGACACAATCTGCATCTCAAACAAACAAACAAAAAAACAGTTCAGCTCTCACTGCTCCCACATATTTGTGCTATAAATTAAGTCAAAGTTTCGAAACACCGTTGGGTCCTCCAATCCCAGTGGACAAAGAGAAAAAGAAAATCACAGCCAGAACGCAGCAGTGGGACACAGCGGACGGATGGTGGTTGGGAGAAAGCCCAAACAAAAAAGACGAACAAACCCAACGGGCATCTTTCCAGTCTAGGCACACAAATGTTTCAGTCTCAAAATAGCTCTCTTGTAGAATTCCAGGGCTTCGGAGCAGAAAGTAAACGAAACGAGGTAGCCAGACATATATATATATTTATATATATATAAGTCACATAGATATAGAATATATGGAATATACTCAGCAGAAAGAGAGGACCATGATGTCACATTTCTTCCAGACGATTCTTAAAGGAAAGAAGACACAAATGCAGTGAGCGTGGCTAGCAGAGGCCTGCCAGGGCGAAGCGATGAGAAGAGACCGGGCTTGGCGACAGGGGGGCAGGAGGGCGACAAGGCCGTGGTCGTTGGGCTGGCGTTTCCTGCGTTCCCAAATGAAAACCAGATCACAGTATTCACACGAAAGCTTGGGTGAAGGCAGACGTTTTCCCCGGCTCCCCGGGACTGAAAGCACGAGTCCTCCCCGCCCCCGCCTCGGCGGG